CTATAGTATCAATATCTGAATTCGCACAGACAACTCATGTGCTATAGTATCAATATCTGGATTCGCACGAACAACTCACGTGCTATAGTATCAATATCTGAATTCGCACAGACAACTCATGTGCTATAGTATCAATATCTGGATTCGCACGAACAACTCACGTGCTATAGTATCAATATCTGAATTCGCACAGACAACTCATGTGCTATAGTATCAATATCTGGATTCGCACGAACAACTCACGTGCTATAGTATCAATATCTGAATTCGCACAGACAACTCATGTGCTATAGTATCAATATCTGGATTCGCACGAACAACTCACGTGCTATAGTATCAATATCTGAATTCGCACAGACAACTCATGTGCTATAGTATCAATATCTGGATTCGCACGAACAACTCACGTGCTATAGTATCAATATCTGAATTCGCACAGACAACTCATGTGCTATAGTATCAATATCTGGATTCGCACGAACAACTCACGTGCTATAGTATCAATATCTGAATTCGCACAGACAACTCATGTGCTATAGTATCAATATCTGGATTCGCACGAACAACTCACGTGCTATAGTATCAATATCTGAATTCGCACAGACAACTCATGTGCTATAGTATCAATATCTGGATTCGCACGAACAACTCACGTGCTATAGTATCAATATCTGAATTCGCACAGACAACTCATGTGCTATAGTATCAATATCTGGATTCGCACGAACAACTCACGTGCTATAGTATCAATATCTGAATTCGCACAGACAACTCATGTGCTATAGTATCAATATCTGGATTCGCACGAACAACTCACGTGCTATAGTATCAATATCTGAATTCGCACAGACAACTCATGTGCTATAGTATCAATATCTGGATTCGCACGAACAACTCACGTGCTATAGTATCAATAACCTCAANCTGGATCCACCCGGACAACTCACGTGTTGTACGGACAACTCACGTGCTATAGTATCAATATCTGAATTCGCACAGACAACTCATGTGCTATAGTATCAATATCTGGATTCGCACGAACAACTCACGTGCTATAGTATCAATAACCTCAAAATCAGGCCCTCGGCCTTACTCAGTCATCAATCTCTCCAGTCTCTCGGGCTCACAATGTCATGAAACTAGCCCAAAATGATGATATGATGTATCAATAAATAACAACATAGACTGAGATATTATATGCGACAAATGAATATGAGTGAGTATGAATTACAGTTTAAACATATAATTCGACAGCAGAAATGGCCTCAATGGGCCACAATAATACCAACATTTGCCTAAGCATGATTTTCTAATATGAGTCACAGCTCAGTTTCTCTAACACATAAAAATTCATGGAAAAATACAAGTTAATTGACTATACAACTCTACGGAATCAACCGCGCGAGTCTCAATTTATACGGTGTACGCCCACACGCCCATCACCTAGCATGTGTGTCACCTCCAAACAATTCACATAACACGTATAATCAGGGTTCATACCCTCAGCTCCAAGATTAAAGATGTTACTTACCTCGAGCAAGCAAAATCCAATACCGAGCAAGATGTACAATACTCCAAAAATTCCATTACGCGCGTATCAACCTCCATACGCCTTCCTATCTCCTCAATTCAAGTCAAACGACTCGTATCAATTCAAACAACGTGCAAATTAATTACAATTTACTCTAATGCTTACAATTTAATAATTTACAAAAATTTTCAACTCCGCTCGAAAAATCGACTGAGGGGCCCACATCTCGGAATTTTATGAAACTCACAAAATTCGAACACCCATTCCGATAAGAGTCCAACCATATAAAAATTATCAAATGCCGACATCGGATTGACCTTCGAATCTTTATTTTATATTTTTGGAAGATTTTATAAAAATCTAATTTTTCTTCCATAAATTTGCGGATTCATGATGTAAATGAATATGGAATCATGAAATATAATCAAAATAAGGAACACTTACCCCGATGATTTCCCGTAAAAATCGCCCAAACATCGCCTAAATCGAGCTCCCCAACTCTATTTTTGTCAAAAATGACAGAAAATCCCTGTTTATAGGGCCTCAGCTGTTTCGGGCACCACAGGTAGCATGTGGCGCTGCCTGTGGCGTAGTTTTCAGTATCCCAAAAATTCTCAGTGCCAGGGCTAGTGCCCCCACGCTACCCTGGGCGTTGGCGGCGACGGAAAATCATTTCCGGCACGAAAATGGGCATAACTTTCTCATATGACGTCCGAATTTGACGATTGTTTTTGCTATGGCTCCATAATTTTAATATAGATCTAATGCTTCAATTAAAACTAAATTTGGAGTTTATTTTCTTAATATGATACCACGTATTCTTGAAGAATCGATGTCAAAATATTCTAGGTTCGATGTCGAAATATAGCAAATCAAGTCCGATTGACCTTAAATTTTGTACACAAGTCATAAATGACATAACAGACCTATTCCAAATTTCTAAAATCAGATTCTGACCCCGATATCAAAAGGTCATCTCCCCGGTCAAACTTCCAACTTAAATTTCCTATTTTCGCCATTTCAAGCCAAATTTAACTACGGACTTTTAAATAATTATCCGGACACACTCCTAAGTCCAAAAATCACTATACGGAGCTATTGGAACCATCAAAACTCTATTTTGGAGTTATTTGTATAAAAGTCAAACTCTGGTTAACCCTTTTTTTCATTTAAGCTTCCAACATGCAATTCATTCTTCCAAACTAATCCCGAAATACCTAAAAATCAAAACCGACGATTCACACACATCATAATACATCATATGAAATTATTCAAGACTTCAAATAGTAGAAAGGAGAGTAATTACTCGAAACGACAAGTCGGGTCATTACAATATACAATATATATATATATGTGTGTATGTGTGTGTATATATGTGTGTGTGTGTGTGTGTGTGTGTGTGTGTGTGTATTATATTCTATTATTTATTAATACATTTAAATATATACCTTATACAATATATTATATTATATCGATACCACTATATGTATAGTATACAATATACTATCATTTACATGCAATAGTGCGAAAAGATATATTATTACTTATATATGGTGTAGTCTCTCACCCATTTTTAATAAAAGCCAAAGAAAATCTTTTAAGAGATGATTCATTATATTTGAGTTGTAGTTAATTTGGTTCGGCTAAATTTTAGGAATTTACAGATTTTTTAAGAAATAATTGGTTGTAGTCAATTCATTTAGGTTTAAATTTAGGAAATGATGAGGATCTCATTAAATTTGCTAAAATTTTGGGATTCTTATTAAATGATTTTCTTAGAGAGAGAGAAGAGACATTTTAAGCTGAATAATTATTAATTGTATAAAATATTGTACAAAATATGAATCAAATAATAATTGCAGTTGATGTAATATACTCTAATAGAAGTTGTAGTTATGAAAATTTCCCTTCTTTTTATGGTACAAGCTTCACAGTTAGGANTAATTATGTAATAAAAAGATTCACCATCTGGGAATCGAACCGGGGTCTGTACTGTGGCAGGATACTATTCTACCACTAGACCATTGGTACATTTTGTTTTAAGACTGTCTTTTATTTGATTTATACTCTTTAATTGTATTTTCGCACGAAAATAACCGACCAAAGTTAGTCGGTTTTATTAAAAAGTAAAATTACCGACCAAAGTTGGTCGGTTTTTTTAAATAACCCGTCAAATTAACCGACCAATTTTGATCGTTTTTTTAATATTAATTTTTATTTATTTTAATTAAAATATCGACCAAAGTTGGTCGATTTCTTGAAACATAAATTTTGCGGGACTCAAAAATAGTTTCCCGCATTTTTGCGCTAAAGAAAACCGACCAAAATTGGTCGGTTTCGTAAAAAAAAAAAAAAAAATTAAAAAAAATATTTTGAAAAACCGACCAACTTTGGTCGGTTTTTTGGTCGGTTTTTTGACCGACCAAAGTTGGTCGGTCGACTTTGGTCGGTTTTTGCCGAATTTCTAGTAGTGAGCGAATCATTTAAATATCACTAGTTTTAAGGTATATGCATTACGTATATACTCAATATCAATGGGTATTAGTTTTTTAAAAGTATACAAATATTATTAAAGTATGTGATTATATTGAGTTATAGAATTTTTTAAAAAAGTACAAAATCTTGAAAATAATGAATATTGATTCTATTTAGCCAATTTAATTAATGAATAAAAATTATATCACACAAAAGTATTGTAATTCCATATCATAACTTTGATATATTTGTGTATTTTCTTTACTAGCTCAAATAGAGTAGAATAATATGTTGACTTGTACTCAAATATTATGCAACAATATGTTTATCATTGGCCTTAAAAAACAAATTTTATTTGCTCAATTAGCTAATATGAATTTAATCTTATTATTATTGGAACTCAATCGAATATTATGAAAAGTAAAACGAGACTCCATATTGTTAGGTTTAACTATTATACGACGAATTTAATTGGATGAGTAGTATTTAAACTCAACTAATTAATTTGGTCGTAGAAATAAATAAAATAATTTTCATAAAAAAAATATGTAGAATATTAATATTTTTTAATTATTTTATCCAATTTGAAATGTTTCTAAAGTACTATTATTTGCAAAAGGTATAAAAGTTAGTTAACATTTCATAGTGAATCGTTTAAATATCATAATAGTCCTCTCTTGCCTCTCCTCCTCCAACAACCAAATAAATCTAATTCATACCTTTATTTAGCCCATAATCTCCCCATCTCCTGATCTCAATATTAATCACTAGATAATCTCATCGACTATTTATTTTATTAAATTAATATGCTCAATCTTTAAAATTAAACCATTAAATAGAATGAATGGTGCATAAAAGGATACCACCAAATATAAACTTCCTAAGATTATGTAATGCCGCACAAGGTCAAGAGACAGAGACCAAAGAATGGTTAAAGGTCAGTGCACATTGACACCCTACTTGAAGATACATAACACCAACATATCTTTTCATTTTTCTCATGATATTATTACAAATGATTTAGCTTCAAAATTCCATTTTTTCCTTGTTTTTTCTTATCATAATCATGAATTCAGACCAATTTGGTCCAGAAACAATGTTTTGTTCCTTTCTTCCAAGGGATATTGTCATCGAAATTCTCTTGAGACTTCCAGTAAAGTCATTGTTACGCTTCAAATCTGTATCCAAACCCTTTTGTTCTTTAATTAAGAACCCTAATTTCATCTCCAAACACATTGCCAAAACTACCCAAGAAAAGCCACCCCATCTTCTAATCATGGGTCGCCATCACAAAACTCTTGAAGTCATGGTACGTTTAATTCATTCGCTAACAAAACCAAGCCACATCCCACCTCTCCATTTCGACGTACCATTTGGTTTGACCTCTGAAAAAACAAGAATTGTTGGCTCCGCCAATGGCTTAATCTGCTTGAATCTCGTTAACCATAATGGCGTCGCGATTGTTATATGGAATCCAGCCATTAAAACATTCAAGCCAGTTCCTAGATCTCCATATGTTTCAACCCTAGGTAAACTCAGTGTAACCGATCTAGGGTTTGGTTATCACTCAGGGAATGATGACTATATGGTTGTTCGACTCTTGAACGTTGCTACATCGAGGAGGAAGTACGAGGTTGAAGTTTACACGTTGAGCACGAATTCTTGGAGAAAAATAGCAAGTGATGGTCGTGTATTACTAGTTATACTTCCTTTTTGGAAACCAATGGCTCCTGGAATGGTCGTGGTAAAAGGTTTTATTTATTGGGTAGGAGTTGAAGTTAGAAACGAAGAAATGTGTAGTGTTGTGGTTTCTTTTGAAATGAGCAGTGACGAATTGAATTTTATTTCACCACCTATAGAACACCATGGCATTGTAGTTGACCTAAGGGAAGCAATAACATTAAGGCTATTCAACTTAAACGAATCGTTGGCTTTGATTTATTCTGAAAATCTCGAAAAAGTTGATATATGGATGAATGCAGGATTTGATATATGGATTTTGAATGAAAATGATGTTGAAAGAACTTGGACTAGAAGGTTTAAAGTTGAACCTAGTCAAGGGTTGTTATTAGAAGCTGGATTTTGGGAGAATTCTAAGGCATTGGTAGCAGAAGAGAGGAAAGAGATGTGTTTTGACGAAAATCGAGAATACGTTTATACAAAAGGTGAGACAAAGTTATATTTGTATGATATTATTGAAGGAGATGTTGAGATTATTGAAAACCATGAACTTCGAGCCCCATTTCAAGCTTATACTTATTTGGAGAGCTTAGTGAATGTGAAGGGAGGAGTTAATGTTGCAAAGGAGGTTGATTTGTCAAAATTATTAGATTTTGACCCTTTGCTTTTTTGATTTTCCAAATTTATGTTGGGATTTTGGATGAAGTCTAGTTTCATTGGTCAAATAAAGATTTAAGGACCTTAGTTTTTTTTTTATTACTTCATAGTTGTATTAAAAAGTATTGTTTCTCTCTCACTGAAAATAGAGAAGGTTTTTTTAATTGTAATTTTCTTAGAGAGATAAAAATATGTCCTTTGATATATTTGGCTCTCATTTCATTGATACCTAACAATGATTATTTGTGATGGACATGAACTTTGTCGCCCCAGAAGCCAGAATCTTCATAGGAAAAATGTTTCGCAGAATACTTTTTATGTTAAATCATTTTCTTATTTTTTTTTAAAAAAGGTTTCTCATCATTGTATTATTCAAATCAAACGCGAGTACATCAGTAAAGGATAATCCATCAAAACTATCACTGAATATAGTGCCAAAATTTAGACTTTATCAGGCCATGGCGGATTAATCGCCGGATTAATATTGTAGAAAAAACCGGGATTTTCATAACTTAATTGGAAACAATATTGTATTTTGGATTCACCTCCCACTTATGCTTTATTCCAATTCCGCAAAAACTATTTGGGAATTGATACTTCAAGATCAGTTCCGGAGTGTAATGAACCTCACCTTAATTTTTCTTAATATTTGGATAGTTTAGAAGCAATAAATAAATAAATAAATAAATAAACAAACAAAAAAACCCAAAAAACATACTGCCAATCTGTCGCTAAATCTCGTACAGATTTTTGGTGCTACAATTTGCGACGGCATGAAGAATTTGTCTCAAATTTGCAAAAAATCTTTTAATTTTTTATAGAGTTTCGTCACCAAAACAAAATTTTATTGTAAATTTTCTTTTGGTAATAACTGTGAAATATTACCATTTAACAAACAAAATTAATATAACCTAAAGAGCACCTAGAACCATAACTATCTTCTATTGGATTCAGTACCTTTTAATGGTACGGGTTTTGTTCTTTGGAGAAACAGCATACTCACTTCCTAGTCTGCCAAAACTAAACTAGGAATCCTAGATGGAAGAATATCCCAGCCTACCCAAGAATCACCCTATTATCCCTATTGGGAAAGGTGCAATGATATGGTAAAGTCGTGGATCATAAACATTGTATCGAGAGAAATTGTCACTAGTATAATGTATTTTAAGACTGCCAAAGAGGTCTGGAAAGACATAAATGAGAGGTTTGGGCAGTCCAATGGGTCAAAGTATCTACAAATCCAGAGAGAGATAAGCACAACTATACAAGGTTTTTCAGATATAGCTAACTATTTTACTAAACTTAGGACACTTTGGGATGAATTGAATTCATCCTATGTGGGAGCTACCTGTTCATGTGGGGCTCTTCCCAAGTTCATAGAGGATCAACAGTTATTTCAATTCCTTAATGGGTTAATTGAATCTTACTCTACTGTCAAAAGCACCATCATGATGACGAGGCCCTTACCACCCACAAGTAAAGTCTACTCTATTCTACAACAAGATGAGAGCCAGAGAGAAACACCACATGCTCCTAATTTTTCTGGTGATTCTGCATCTTTTCTAGCCTCTCCTACCCCTTTCAACAACAACAGCAGGAACTTCACTTAGAGAGTCAATTTTGACTCCAAAAGGAATGCAAATTCTGCCTCTTGCAAGTATTGCAAGAAAACTGGACATACTGTGGACAAGTGTTATAGGCTGTTTGGCTTTCCTGCTGATTTTAAGTTCACCAAGAACAAGAAGTCAGCATCTTGTGTCCAGACTGAAGTTCCATATGTCCCTTCTTCTTTCCCTTCTGCTGCCTCCTCTGACAATTCAGCTCATGGTTTCACCAAGAAGCAATACGAACATCTTCTGAGTATGTTCCAGCAAGTTCAACTCTCCAATGGGATGTCTCCTGATGATTCTTCCATAGAAGACTCTGGTTTTGCTCATTTTGCATATTTGTTTACTGCTTATGATGTTGATTATCTTGTTTCTCATGCATGTGCATTTTCACATCTAGGTATACAACCTTGGATTTTAGATTCAGGAGCCACTAACCATATGACTCCACACAAACATCTTCTTCAAAATCTCACACCTTTACCTAAACCCTTTCTTGTTACTTTACCCATGGTTATAAGGTAAAAGTTATATCCACTGGATCACTACATCTTAGACATGATATAATATTGGCCAATGTTCTCCTTGTACCTTCTTTCCAATTTAATTTAATTTCTATGCATCAACTTATCACACAGCTGGATTGCATAGCAGTACTTACCAAAACCAATTGTCTTTTACATGGCCCTTCTCTGAAGAGGCCACTGGTAATTGGTAAGGCTGCTGGGAGATTATACTATTTGCATCCAGATGCTGATCTATTTCCATCCTTTCTTGCTGCCCCTATAGTACAACCTAGTTCAGTATCTTGTAATAAGCCAAGTTCATTTACTCCTTGTTTCAATCAACCTTCAATTGTTGTTGGTTCTGCCTGTAATCAGATTAATGTTGATTCTACTTGTAATCAAACACCCACTATTAATAAGATGGACTTGTTTTGGCATCAAAGGTTAGGACATATGCCTTTTCATAAAATGAGATTTATTCCTTATTTGTCTAACAAAATATCTTCTAAACAATCTTTCCTCTGTCCAATCTATCCAATGGCTAGGCAGCAGAGGTTGCCTTTTCATGATAGTTCTATACAGTCCACTGCCCCCTTTTAACTTGTTCACATTGATATTTGGGGACCCTATAACACTAAGACATATAATGGGTTTAGATATTTTCTTACTTTAATAGATGGTTATACTAGAGTAACATGGACACATCTTCTCTCTTGTAAGGGTAATGCTCTATCTATCCTTAAGGCATTTACATCCATGGTAAAAATTCATTTTCACTCCAATGTTCATACCTTTAGATCAGATAATGCCTTTGAATTGGGTGGTAGTACTGAAGCGATCAATTTCTTTGGAAATGAGGGTATCCTTCATCAAACAACCATTCCTCACACTCCACAACAAAATGGTCTTGTGGAAAGAAAATACAAACACCTTTTAGAAGTTGCCAGAGCACTTTTATTTCAGTCTAAGCTTCCTCTTAAGTTTTGGGAAGAGTGTATACTTACTGCTACTTACCTTATCAATAGAATGTCGTCACCACTTTTGCTCAAACTCTCTCCTTATGAAAAATTACATGGAACTCCACCTACCTATGAACACTTAAAATCCTTTGGCTGTCTTTGCTTTGCAACATCTTCTAAGGTGGGCAGGAATAAATTTCAGTCAAGAGCCATCTCCTCCTTATTTTTGGGTTACCCCTATGGAAAGAAGGGCTACAAGTTGTTGAATCTTTCTAATTTTTCTATTTTTTACTCTAGAGATGTAGTGTTTCATGAACATGTTTTTCCTTACAAATCAGTATTTTATTCTCCTCCTTCATTTTTTCCTTCTTCTGTACAACCCTTTGCTGAATCTTCATCTGCTGATTCGGCCACTCTTTCTGCTACTGAAGGTGTTTCCCCTTCTACTTCCAGTCATCATATGCCTCATTTAGCACCTTCTCCTCTTCTCCTCAGTCCTGTCATCTCTAATACTCCTTCTCCTAACTCCACTGGCTCTATTTACTCCTCTGAAATTTCTTTACCTTCTCATGTCTCTCCTCCTCTTAGGAAATCCCTTAGAACAGTTACCAAACCCACCTACCTAAATGACTATGTCTGCAATTCAGCTTCTCTTCCTATTTCCTCTCCTGATTCCTCTATGGTTGCACCTAGTGACCTTCATATGCATGAGTCTCAGTTTTACCTGTAGGCAGCATCAAACCCTGCATGGCATGAGGCTATGTTACAAGAATTTAGAGCTCTTGAAGCAAACCAGACCTGGAATATTGTTCCTCTACCACCCAACAAGAAAGCCATTCCTTGCAAGTGGGTTTATAAGATCAAACAAAGAGTTGATGGCTTTGTTGAAAGGTATAAGGCCAGGCTGGTTATCAGGGGTGATGCTCAAAGGGAAGACATTGATTTCACTAAAACTTTCTCCCCTGTGGTCAAACTGACCACTATTAAGTGCCTGCTGACCTTGGCTGCCAAGAGAGGTTGGACTGTCTTTCAACTTGATGTCAACAATACTTTTCCCCATGGTGACCTAAGTGAGGAGGTCTACATGAAAGTTCATCCCGGACTTGATATCTCTTCTTCTTCTACCTCCTCACCACTGGTTTGCAGACTTAAAAAGTCTCTTTATGGCCTCAGGCAGGCTTGCAGACAGTGGTTTTCAAAACTGTCTGAAGCCCTACTATCTAGAGGTTACATTTCCAGTCTTAATGATTATTCTCTCTTCACCAAATCAACCTCTAATTCTCTGGTGGTCCTTGCTGTGTATGTGGATGACATCCTCTTAGCTGGGGATGATGTCTCTGAATTGAACTCCTTAAAGTCCTTCTTCGATTCTCAATTCAAGATCAAGGACCTGGGAACAGTACACTACTTTTTGGGTCTAGAAGTTTCTCAACATTCTCAAGGCTATCTTATGACTCAACAGAAGTATGCCAATGATCTCCTTGCTGCGTTTAATTGCCAGCACTTCACTACTGTTCTCTCTATTGGACTCTTCCTCCAAATTGGTGTTGGACATGTGAGAGCCACCTTCTGATCCCAGTACCTATAGAAGATTGATAGGTAAACTCAATTTTCTCCAACACACTAGGCCAGATATTTTCTTTTCTGTGCAACACTTAAGTCAATTTCTTCAGAAGCCTCAAGTGCCGCACCTGCAAGCTGCTTTACATGTCCTGAGGTACCTTCTCAATGATCCAGCTCAGGGTATTCTGCTGTCCAACAATGCAAATTTCTCTCTTCTTGGGTATTCTGACTCTGATTGGGCTGCTTGTGCTGTCTCTCGCAAGTCTGTATCTGGTTTCTATATCACTCTTTATGGCAGTCCTATTTCATGAAAAAGCAAGAAGCAGCCCACTATATCCTTGTCTTCAGCTGAAGCTGAGTATAGGGTCTTGAGGAAGACTGTTGCTGAAATTTCTTGGTTAGTTCGACTTTTGGGTGATCTTGGTCTGTCCATTCACAGTCTTGTCCCCATTCACTGTGACAGTCAAGCTGCTTTACGCATA